GATGATGGGCTCAAGTATAGCAGGGATTGTGGGGCTGGCACGGGATCGGGCAGTGTTTCGTTCTGCTGTGCATGGTGTCGCTATGAATTGGAAACGACTCGACGGCACTTAACAACAACAACAACAACAAAGTACCATTATATGTCTATTAAACTAGCCAAAGTATAAATGGAAAACTCAATTTGAGAAGGGAAGTCAGTATGCTTTTCTCATTGTTTGTAGTTTTATAAATGAAGAGCAGTGTGATAACATACAATGTTGGGGTGGTGGTTAGTTGCTGTTGAGACATTTCTAGCTCGTGGTGACCCCATGTGTGCAGAGTAGAACTGCTCCATAGAGTTTTCTAATCTGTGACTTTTTGGAAGCAGATCACCAGGACTTTCAGCTATAAGTCAATTACTTAATCATTTGCACTACCCAGGGACCTATAAAATATGTTGTTGGTTTTTTTTACCCTGTGGTTTAATTTTGTTCCAAGAAAATAATATAGTACGGAAACAATGGTCACAGCAGTCATAAAGGTGAGGGGAGAAGGTCAGGAATAAGTAAGTAAGGAGCTCTGGTGGCATAGTGGATAAAGCATTTGGTTGCTAACCAGAGGTCAATGGTTCAAACCTACTAGCTGCTCTGTGGGAGGAAGAGGAGGTAATTTACTTCTGTAATGATTTACTGCTTTGGAAATCCAAATGGAACATATATTGAGTCAGAATCGACTCAGTGGCAGTGGATTTGGTTTTTTGTATTGGAAGTAGACTATAACAGGTAAATGGAATAGTCCATTTAGGAAATGTGTATTTCCATTAACTTTACAGTGCTGGATTACATTTCTATGGCACTTGACAATTTCAAAATACCTTAACATTCTTCATCTTTTTTAATGTTCACAAAAATCCTGCTGGGATATGACACCATTTTAAATACAAAAAAAATAAAACTTGTCCATGATTAGGATCAAAGCTATAACATATTTAATTATCTGAGATCACTTAGGTTTTAAAGGTGACGCTCTAGTGCATTCTTTCCAATAAATGGTGCTAGGTCAATGGGCTATGCAGATGAAAAAAAAAAAATTAATCTTGACCCTTAACTGACACTATGTAAAACTTAATTCCTAATTGTTCTAAACATGAAGACTAATACCATAACACTTTTAGAAGAAAATACAGAATATTCTGACACTTGTAGTAAGCAGTGATTTCCTTAACAGAACACAGAATGTACTAACCATAAAAGAAAAATTGAGCTGCTTAAAAATTAGGTACTTCTGTTCTTGAAAAGAACCTATTTAGAAAGTGAAAAGGTGAGATATTAGTAAGATATATAGGACTCATCCAAAAAGAAAAATTCCTATGAAACAACTAGAAAAATGGGCAAAAGACTTAAACAAGCACTTCACAGACAAGGTTGTCTGAGTGGCCAATGATGTGTTCATTGAACACATAAAAGCATTCAACTTTATTAGTCAGCAGGGAAATGTAAAATCAAACTGAAATACAATGCCAGCACACATTCACCGAATAGCTAAAAAGAAAAAAAGATAGACAATCTCAATTGTTGGCAAGAATATGGAGCAACTAGAATTCTCATACTGCTGGCAGGATTCAGAAATTGGTACAGTCACTTTGGATAACTACTTGACCATATCTGCTAAAGCTAGTCTAAATGTGAAGACCCTAGAGACAACAATTCCATCCTTCGGTATATACCAAATAGAAGTATGTCCATATGTTCACCAAAAGGAATGCACACGTGTTATTTATAATGCACCAAACTAGAAACTACCCAAATGCATGTCAGCAGTACAGTAAAGTAATACATGTATAGTCACAGTGGAACTATACTGTGGTGAGAATGAATGACATGCAACTATGTGTAACAACATAGGTGAATCTTGCAAGCGTGTATTGAACAAAAAAAGTTCAAAACCAGCCAAAACTTATCTGTGGCGGTAGAAGTTAGTACTGTGTTTACTCTTGGTGGGTGACAGTGACTGAAAGGGAGTATGAGATCTTTTGCAGGGTACTGGTAATATTCAGTATCTTGATCTGACTGTTGGTTTTCTCAGTGTATTAACACTGTAGAAGTTCATCCTGCTGTACATGTAGAATTTGTGTATTTTTCTGTATGTATTATATACTGAGTTCCTGGGGGTTCCAAATAGTTAACACACTGAGCTGCTAACCAAAAGGTTAGAGGTTTGAGTCTACCCAGAGGCACCTCAGAAGAAGGGCTTAGCCATCTACTTCCCAAAAATCAGCCCTTGGAAACCCTGCGCAGCACACTTCGGCTCTAACCCGTGGGTCATCGTGAGTCAGAGTCGACACAACAGCAGCTAGTTTTTATATTATATACTTCAGTAAAAACTTTACTAAGTGAATTAATTAGGTCTTGAATTTTACTTGTTTGCTTTTCAACGATTCACTTTTAGTGTATCCATTTGTTACCGGCCTCTTACTGAACTCATTAGATGGGATAGTTTTCTGGTGATTCTTTTGGTTATTATAGGTAGATGAATGATGATCCTTTCATCAGAAAACTAGGATGGCTCTTGTCTTCAGGAGAATGTCTTAATGCCAAGAAACATACATATAAGAAAACAGTAAGGTGTGTGGCGTAGAAAGCCTACCTGAGAGGACCTTTGAGCTCCCTTGCCCCTTCCAAGGGTTTTTAAACTTAGCAGTGTGAGGACCCAGAATAGTGCTAGAACAGTTTGGTGTACGTGAATAGACCTTTCATGTTATGTTCATAATAAACGTGGACACTGGAAAATGCGAGTCTTGTAATATTATTCTGTTTGCCCCTTTCCAACTCCTTTTTTTTTTTTTTGTTTGCTTGCTTGTTTTTGCAGATCTTTTCATGGATGCATCTGAGACTGAAAAAATGGCCAAAAGTTTAAAAGATGCAGAAGGAGTTTATTTTGTTCCATCTTTTAGTGGATTGCAGGTAAAAAAAAATTAGTAGCAACTTTGACTTGGCAACTTTGATTTTAACTTTTCTATCAATTCATGTGCCTATAAAAATAAAAAGTATAGTCTGTGATTAAGAAAAAGACCAAAGTATTGGTAAAGCCCGAAAGATGAGACAGATCTATTAGACAAATCTATCCTAGATGTGATTTTTCATTTCATATATATATATTTTTAATTTCACCTTGATAAGAAAATGTCACTGTTCTGCCATGGTTGCAAATTGGAAAAATTTGAAGAAGGGGAAGCTGCAGGCCAAGTATCTCCCAAATGTAAAATGAAACTCTTAAAACCAAAATCTACTGCCATTGAGTTGATTCCAGGGGTTTCCAAGGCTGTAATCTTTAGGAAAGCAGACTGCCACATATTTCTCCTGCAGAGTAGCCGGTGGGTTAAAACCACTAAGCTTTAGGTTATCAGCTGAATGCTTTAACCACTGTGTCACCAGAGCTCCTCAAAACCAAAAGTTAAGTTTTTCTTAGTCTGGAAGTTCTGCTGAAACCTGTTTAGCATCATAGCAACATGTAAACTTCCACTGAAAGATAGATAGTGTCTACACATGAGACACATTGGCTAAGAATTGAACCTGGGTCTCCTGTAAGGCAAGAATCCTGCCAGTGAACCACCAGCACCCCACATTATCTCATACAATCCTCAGGAAATCAACAAGGTAGAAGATTCTTATTATTCCATTCTAAAGATGAGGAAACAGATTTACTGCTGTTACAAATCACTTGCCAGGTTCCACACAGCAAGTGAGTGCCAGGTTTTCTGACTCAAAACTCCAGGCTCTAACCATTCTATAACACTACCTCATAGTATAGCATACAATATTATAGCAATAGGAATACACATTCGGTGCCAGACAAGCTTGTAGTTGGAACCTAGGTTGACAAGACAAGAGGCATGTTAGCATTTATCATTCTGTCAAGTCCCCAGCAAATTTAGGCTGAGATCCCAGCTGTGACAAGGGCCTGCCAGGGAAGGCAATCTATATCCCTGGGCTAGAGTCTGCTCCTTTTGTTCGTGGTTCTAAACGGAAGTCTGCTGAGTCTTTCTCTTCTCAGTTGGTTGATGTTTCTGGGGATGCTCACTTGAGGGAATTGGCAGTGATGAGTGAGTGATGTGAATGGAAACTGTCTGCCATAGCCAAGTATGACTAGCCGATTAAAAGGACCTTCCAGTATTTTCTTATCATGTTGTTGTTGTTGTTATGTGCCGTCGAGTCGGCCCCGACTCATAGCGACCCCTCCTTGGGTTTCCGAGGCAGT